CACAAGAAAACTGTGATGAACACCTTCATTTTTCAAATTATGTTTACAACTTGTAGATTCAACTAAAATAATAATGTAACAACCCTACACTCCGAGCGAAGTGTAGGCATTTACGCACCGAACAGGCGGGAGTTGCCCTATTTGCTCTTATTATACTACTTAATTTTACAGATCCCTACAAGGTCATGGTCATAATCACGTTCAAAACGTCGAAGTAAATAAAATATATTTATATGTAATTAAGTCCCGATTTTTTTAATCAAATAATCAACGAATCGAATCTCTGTGACCACTGTGACCTGAATTCTTCGCTAACAATTAAGGGAAACATCGTTAATGAAACCAGTGATGCCACACTCGAAGCACGAAGTCAGTAGTTACGGCCATTTTCATACTGTAGATGACCTGCGGAAACCATTGTCAAAGTTCATCAACGAAAAGACTGGCCCGTATGAAACGTTCAAATCACTATGTCATACATTCTTACTTCTAGTTCCGATCAAAACTGAAGTCTGTAGGTCATACATAGCTTCTGCATATACTCGTAAAATAAAGTCAAACCTCTCTACTCAAAACACACGAGGCTAGCAGGATTCACTTAGAGGAGTAAAGCAATGAGTAGTGGGACATATTTGATTTCATTTAAGTTGTCTCGTCAAGAAACTTTTTTCCAATGGTTTTGAATGTCTATTTCCTTCTTCCCAGTATTTGTGACGCGTAATAGCTTCAGCGTTCGATCTTACTTCTAGATATATTATAGCAAAACAACATCAGTCACCGTAAAGTTTGACAGTTAGAGTCGGAAGTCTGCGTATCAGCACTTCCTCGTCAACTCTTGGCAAAGTAATTACACTTTTCTCGACTAAACCCAAATTTATTTTCTTAAAAACTTACTGAAAGTGTAGCCATTATAGCCTTCCAAAGTTTCTTTCAAAGAATAAGCCAACTATCAAAATTAAAAAGATACTGGAGTTTCAAAATATGTAAATCGTTTGACTAACCACGTGAAGGAACAAAAAAAGTACGTTTGAGTCAATATTTTAGGCAACATTGCGTAAACCACTTTTATTTCCTTAAGTATAAAAATTATTTTTGTTTATAATTAATAATTATATACAAATGATAGAAAATATTACCACGCTGTCATAACTGTAATTTTTATGAACTCCCTAATTAGTAGTTGTTTAGTTCTACTCCTTGTGAAAAAGTTCGTCCAGTGAGGTACTGCCATTTATCTATTTCTGCCACCAAGCGGTAATGTGAGCATTACTGCATTTCGGTTTTGAAGGGTAAAGGTGCTGAAGAAATTACATATTATTACATTACGGCACATGAGACTTGTCAACTTGTCTCGGGGTGACTGGCGCAGTGGCAATGCCCTTTGAGATGTTTGCGATTTAAAGCCATGTGTGGTACTGCCACTCCTATAGACAGGCGTGTCGCTTACCACCCGGCTCACGACTAGTTCGTCCCGTCACTTTGTATGATAAAAAATTACCTAAAATTACCTACTTAAAGAACCATAATTTCTACTTTGACCAAAATTTTATAATGATTAACTTACATTCAACTGCACAAACGTCCATTAAGTAAAGTTATAAGGTAAGGTGTTACTTATATGAAGCACTATAATGCTACTTAAGAACAATAAAAATGCTTTACTCCGTAACATGCTGTCTCAAATATTGTTTTTTTATAGCGTAAACGACAAAAATTTCTGCAACAAATTGTCCAATCGCTATTCTATTACGTATTTGTTTGTTTAAATCCTCGCATCAACATTTGTAGTCAACATTTGTAATTAATAAATATGGTCAATTAATAATTGATTGTAATTGGCAATAAATAAATTATTGATCACTGATTGGTAAAAGGGACTCGCTGTATGTTATGATATCGTTGAAATGTTTTTGTTAGCACGTATGGACGGGTTTGCATAGAAAGAAGGTTTCTTCTCTTAGACAGAGAGTGCTAGACACTACTAATAACATTATAGCTGCTATAGTTCGTTCGCATTTGCGACTCGTCCATACATTGGATTTCAATTACCTACCTATTTATTGTATGTAAGAAGTTATATCTAATATTACATTATTGTAATTCTATGGATTTGTTATTATTATTATTATTATTATTATTAGACAAAAGTTTCTTGATTTCATGTACTGTACTGTAACTAAATGACGTAAGCCAATAAACCTTATAAACATAAATGTAGAATAGAATTTGGTATACGTACTTAGCCCAGTGTTTTAAAGCCATAGCGACTTTAAATGAACCCTGTTTATGGCCACAAAGAAGGTTAAGAATTAAAAAAGAAGAAAAGAGAAAGGAAGTTAAACAGTTGAAAATATCTATTGATGTTCTTTATGTTTGTATGTATGGACACGAAACAAGTAATTTATGAGCCCTTTAGGTGAGTGCTAGACAACCACGCTAATTGCTTGATCTCTCAAACTAGGGAGTTCCTTGTACTATGAATACCAGTGCAACAAAATTCACTCTGTAACACTTCCCAGAACATCCAGACCAGAATCAATTTAGAAAAAAATCATTTACGAAATTGATCCTAACCGGAATCGAACTCGGGACCTCCGCATCCAACGCCCACAGTGTAAACCGTTAGACCACCAAGGTCGTCGATTATACTGCAGAGACATTTCTTTTTAATATTCTAATTTATTACTATTTGATATATGACGTGTTAGCATACAGATTTATCTTTATTGTAAACATGGTGGCATTCGTGAAGTAAAATGATTTATTGTTATGTGGAAGTGCACGAATGTGACTTTATAGATTTTAGGACGAACATACAACTATAATTTTATAGCAACCTATATAAAATTAATAGGCACGTGTCTTTTCTGTTTAGGTATTTTGGCATCAATATGGGGAACAATCCCTAAACATGTCCAAACATGTTTTTCGTTCCAGGGATGATGGTTCGAATTTTAAAATGAAAATGTTTAGAAAGGACTTGGTGCAGCGTTGGTCTACTCTAAACATAATATGATACGAAGGATTAACATAAAGTAAAGGCTTGAATTCGTAACCTTGGTATAATGAAGTCACATGTGATCATAATTATGTCAAAAGTGCTTTTATCACATAAAAGTCATAAAAATAATATATATATAATTTGTTTCATGTAATTCGTATTTACATGAAACAAATTATATGTATGTGAAATTTTCTATTGAACTAAACCAAAAGTAAACTCTTCTAATGAAACTAAAAAAATATCGACTAGCTTCGTTCGTATAATCTTTTTTAGATAAATTTTCCCCGCACTAATACGGTTCATTTTGTTTGAGTCAAGCGGAAGTCATACTTGCTTTACTTCGTATATATATATATATATATATATATATAGGTCATTGATGTATGTAAAGTACATATTGAATACAGCGCTTTTCTTGTAAAATTTCGAGCAAAGTTTGTGTGTTTTTTCTATCATGAACATTTTTAGGAACCGTGTTTTCATACCGCAAAGTAATCAGTGTATATCCTTAATTTTACCGTATATTTTTTTCAAAGTGATTGATTCAACACTTTCGTCGTTATTTGGAATCAACCATAGCCATTTGTGATTATATAGATTCTGAAGCCTCTCTCTTAAAAAGACGTAATTTTGCACATGTAGGTTTATTATACCCAAGATGTGAATACCGGGGCTGGAATTATTGGAATCTCCGCTCTTGTAATATAATATAAAAACTTGTAATATAAAAAGTGATGGTCTTAATTTTATGATGACAAAAATCTAAATACGATTTCTAAAAGTATCAGCATCGAATACTACATCTCCGCAAAGTGCCACTGTAAGCGTAATATGCCATAAAACGACAATAAATGTGGCTATTAAATATGTAATATTGTCAATGGCTTCTGCAATCTATGGCGTTTTTATTAAATCCCGGTACGTGATAAAAGTCATATAATTTTTATGGCAAAAAACAAAACTTTTTATCGGATTTTTTAGTTCCATGAAGAGTCCGATTACTATAAAGAAAACGTAATGTTATCCATTAAACAAAGAACCATTTGTGAAAATTACGAAAGAACTACAAATAATGTACAAATTTCCAGGTCTCATTTGTCTACTACACAAAAAAAAACAATTTAAAAGCCATTTACAATAGTCGACACAAACAACCAAATCTTGTCTAAATAGTCCTTGACTGTAAATTGCCCGACATCCAACAATGATAGCGCTCATTAGGAGCAGACTGGACATCCTTTCTCGTTTACCGGTCACTGAACCGAGTTGCTCATTATCTTGCAGTTGCATTTTGTAGTTACTTATATTGTTAATTACGTGTTCTATAAACGTTTCGAAACAATCCATTACGACAGCTTAGTAAAAGCAGCCATTATTGTCTCCCATTACTGGAAAAACAGCTTTACTTTTATTTTCGCTACTACTTTTGTCCCTCTTTGTTATGTTATTTACCATTTAAAAAAGCTTTATTGCTTCTACGTTACACTTTAGGCTTTGTTATCCGTTGATGTATGACTCTAATGCTACTTTCGTGCGTAGTATGTTGCTACGGCATCAGAATGTCGTAGCTCACGCTACACTGTTGCTGCAACCGTATCAAATGCGTATGTTATCCGAAAGTAAAAACCTTCAATTGAAGTTTAAAATCGACCTAAAATGTGGTTCATCGTTTTGTGGATATAAAATCTAGGTCATAGGAAAGTTTGCTCGAACCCTGTTACGTACATCAGGTATCTCATTGTTAGGTTTATATATAGGTAGACCTTTAAATACCTCTTGCGCAGATCATGCGCAATAAGAACGCGCGGCAAATTCAACCTTAACAACATATATATTGCCACATGTTCTTAATTACCATATATTAAAAATTAATAAAGTAAAGTAAAGTCAATAAATAACATGACTGAATAAAGAAAGAAACAAATGCAGAACAAAAAACTATTACAAGTAACACAAAAGCAACTTTTCAAAACTTTTTATCAACATCGAAACTCACCAAACAAAACACGTTCCGTAAACAAAATTTACTCGTAAGTTCGCGAATTTCCATCCATGTTTCCGAATTTGAACACTTTACTGCTCTAGCATTCATTTGTCTTTTTTACAGGCACAGGCACCTGTAGCGTTGCGGTGCGAGCATCGCGACGCGGGCGGAACGGGCGATGGCTCGAGAACACTGAGCGATAGGCCCCGCGCCCGCGCGCGCATCGACCGCGGGCGGTTACTCAGTGCAACTTCTGATGCTTGAACGAAATTCTGAGTATCTACTTGAACATTAATTTTAAGAGTTCTTTTTGAAGACAATTGTTTTTTACTTTACTATATATAAATCAATAAATTATATATAAATTTGCAAAGGTTTCTTAAATTACTTAAAGAGTTATAGATAATTGTAAACAAATCGTTGTTTGAATTGTATACAATTTTAATATTTTATTTAAAGAATCTGTAAGTGGATTAAAAAGACTTTACTATGCTCATATTTATTATGGTATTGGTAATTCTACGTCGTAGCGCCTATTTTGCTTCTGGGCAAATTTGTAAATTTATTTACTTATAAAAAAATTATTGACATGACAAGAACTCTGTAATTGAATTAAGATGTCATTAAGACGTCTTACTTCTTACTACTCTCTGAGTTAAGTCAAAGATTTTTTCTAAATTTTTACTACAATTTGGAATAACTAAATTTAAAGGAAACAATTTTCTATATTCCTCTTTACAAATACACCTGAAAGGTTTACATGGTTTATATAAACTAGAAAACAGAATAATGGTTAATTATCGACTACTAAGTTCATGACCTAATTCTTTGTAATAAGAATTAAGTTACCCAATATTTCCAAAGGTAAGGAACCCGGTGTTCTGAATTACAAGCCATGCCTAGTTTAGGCGTTAATCTCCCACTGTATAGTTTTATAGTATAGCTAATACAACGATTATGTTGTGGGGAAAAAGAAGAGACTAATAAAATTATTATCACCTCGGTGTCGACTTTACAATGTTTTGCATTACCACGAATTTAGTGCCGATAATTTGTAACGACCGCGTAAAATACTATCACTGGGGCTGTGAGATATGTCATACAAAATTGTCACATATTTTACATAATGGTTAGCCACTATTAACACCTTACGCTACAGTACAGGTATAGAATGCTGGGTCAGCTTGGTTGTTCATCAATTGGAATCTATTTCTTAACATAAGTTCATTTCAGTACGAGTAGGTGATTTATAACTCCTGTATTACAAATCATTAACAACACAAGTAGCTTTATTTATTACACGAATATCCACACAGAAAGACATGGATAGCATTAAAGGAATTTCTTATAACAACTCCATAATATGCCCCCAGAGGCAAACATTAATTAATTTCCCACGAAAGGGTGAGGTTTTTCTCCGCTAACTATTCTATCTATTGTTAACATGCTTCTACCGGCATGTTACAGGACGCAAGAGATGATTTTCATTTAGGAAATGAAACTATTTTTCGAATCTAAATCGTGTATAGGTATTTGTTTTTGCAAACAAACCAACGTGACATGGTCACGGCTGACTGGAAAAGAAAAAACAAATACGCAATTTAGGTCTGCAAAATAGTTTCATTTCCTATGTGTAACAATGGCGAAAGCTAAGCTCGATTATGATTTTCATATATTTTCTAATACTCTTTCTTGAATATTGAACGCCCATCCTTAAAAGTTTTATGACCTTGTAACCTATCTCATTGTCAATAACTTTGACACTTGTTTAGCGTAACAATGGCATAACACGGATGTCTGCCGTTCGGAAAATCTAAATTCGTCCCTTTTTTGCAATTCTACAAATAAATCAGTAAAACATTATATTCTGTTCATATTTTAAAAATATTTAAGTACATTTTCAAATAGAGCTACGCTTGGGGTTTCTCTGATGAACCAAATTCCTAATTAAATTATACGTCAGAGAACTAAAATGACCGACAGAGTTTGTAAAATCAGTAAGCATACGTGGCAGTGGGCCGGACATGTCTGCAGGTGGGTTGATAGCCCATGGAGCAGATTTGTTTTAGAGTGGCGACCACGTCAAGGTAAACGATAGTGTAGGACACCCAGCGGCAAGAAGACACCGGACGACCTAAGAAAGGTGGCCGGCAGAGAGTTGGCGTGCTCAAGGAGTGACTTGTGCCCAGCAGTGGATGCGTCTAAGATGATAATTGTCAACAGTTTTTAAGGGCATGGTCAAAATCAATTTGTATTTTGTTTTTAGATGGCTAAAATAGTCTAGACTGGAGAATCTGAATATACATAATATTGTACATCTCGAAGGAATATTTTGACCAGACCGAGCTGTCGCTTTCGGTATTTCATAATATTATTACTTCTCTAAGCTGCGGCGCGAGTGCGGGTACGTGGGCGAAGTAGTATTCATTTGGAATTTCTCCAGGGAAGTACAGCCACCATAAGGTGCTTGGCGGTAGAAATACTTAATTAATTCCGATCTTCGCGATTTAAAACCTAAGTGGCATTGCACTGTCATGGATAGGCGGGTCGCTTACCAGCTGGAGCACGACTTGACCGTCTCGTCACTTGGTATCATAAAAAAATACAAATTATTCACAAAATCTCAGATAAATAAGAAATTTGTAAATATTTTCCTACATCTAAGTTGTGTATTACAGGTATAGTTGTATTATTGAACATGAGAATCTGTCTTCGCACAAACTACCCTGCAGATGGGCCTTAAATATATATCCCAAGCATTTTTATAAAAAATAAGAACGATTTATTCGTTCTATTATCTAATATCTTATACACATGATTCAAACTATTATTGCATTCCTCTTTGTCGTTTAATACCACGCGAGCTTTTTCGACTTGTTCTATTTGACGAAATATTATTTGCACCGATTCGACTAATCGTTTTATCTTTCGAATACAATAGGACAAAAGAGTGAGCCATCTCGGTAACGCACGTGACGTCTATATAGTGCAAATGACTAGTTCAAACACTTTTACGCACTGGTACATAACTCTGAACTTGATAACAAATCACTAAGTAGCACTAACTTAACTGAATTAGTCGAAAAGTATCAGCAATCGAAGTACTAAGTACCCACAGTATACAAAAAAAGACCAGATGTGTAAAGTTCAAAACTAGAATTCAGAATAAGCGTTTAGAGCACCTGTACTCACGATGCGCGATGGACGAAGACCTTTCATTCATTCAATCCATATATGTTTTAGGTAAAAGAAGTTAATGGTTTTATTACCCTATTGTAATAAAAAGGACAAGCTATTCCAAGTGATAACATTCTTCCGTGGAAATAATATTTCTTCAACTATACCGACAGACTAAAATTTATAGAACAGAATGCATGTCTAATTGTAGTGAATATACAAGATATAATTAAATTATCATAAGAACTCAGTACAACTGCAGACCGTACCGCTCAAAATTTTAAGTTGCAAAGATCTTATACCACCTGTCACCCGGAGACATAAGTTGATATGTCCCATGTGCCAGTAATTTCACCAGAACCCTTAACCCTTCAAAATTGGAAGACAGTAATGCTTACATTACTGTTTGACGGCAGAAATAGGTAAGATGGCAGTATTTCCCTAGATGAACTCCTTCACAAAGAGCTTTACTACTACTTAAAATTTGTTGGAATTGCTACTTAAAATTGAATGGTGTTCCATTAATTTAAGATACTATGTTACTTAGAAGGAATTAATTCTTATAATTGACCCTTTCGTTCGTGTCGCATACTGCCCTCGGAACGAAAACAAGGCACAAGTAGCATTTTTATCAAAATTGAGTTACACGTGTATTCGGATTGAGATCAATCAACCAATCAACCTATTTTTTGTAAAAATATATCTCAATAATTGTTGAATATACTACAAACCAGATCTTCTTCCGTGCTACAGGCCCAAAGGATTCAACTGGCATCAACATTCAGATTTTTTTTTACTATAAAAAGTATTTGACGTTTATTATGCTAAAAACTTTAATATCTTTAATAATAGGGATTTTACTTAGTAATATACAGAACTGTGCCTGTGTGCTGTGTTTATATAGTTCAATTACAATATACTAACACAAAAAGGCACAACTGATTGTGCCTTTTAGTTCTATTCACGATTCAAGTATTAAGTCACATTTAAATTAAATATAGCCTTTATATGCAGTAATAATATATATACATATATATATTTACGAAGTAAAAAGAGAAAATTAAAACAGTAATTTTAATTTATTAGACGTAGATAATCGAATTATTTGAACTATAAATAACCAAATTCAAATTTTAATTACAGTAACAGATGTTATTCACTCTTGAACTATTCCTTCTTAGAGGTAAAAGTAGATGCTAATCCAAGTCGATTAAATCAATCAAGATTTTTTATTAATCGATCCAAGAATTTTTATGGTCAATGTTCAGAAATTTATGGAGAAAATCATAGTTCCATACCCATTGTAATTGAAAGTATTGCCATGCCGTTTTGCCACGCCGAGGTCCCGGATTCGATTCCCGGGCTGGGAGCAATATTTGTATGGCCTGCATTTATTTACCTCGTAAGTTTGGGTTTAATTTGTGTTTGTCTATATGTGTGGCCACGGCACTCGAGACACAGGGTTGCCCTAGTGCGGGTCTATGAGTGTGTGCGTTAAAAAAGGCATTTTTATAAAAAGCTGATTAAAATACGATGAAAGTTTCTGTATAAAACATATGGTATTAATTTATACGTTTGATATATTTTAACTATTCTTTTTATTAGAAAAACTTGAGAAGTATTTTACACACATTTATCTCCGAATTTAGAATTCGCTACTTATGCCTTTCTTTCTTTCTCCCGAAGACAGCTTAGCTGAGGGACACCCTGTATATGTATACAAAATAACGATGAAATATACCAATATTTAATTAATTATAAGTTAATTAAGTTAATTAGACCTGAAAAAATTGTTCAAAGAGGAGAACTTTGTTGAACTAAAATTGAAGCCTAGAAATAACCATACTGAAGCTTTGAATATTGACATTGGTTATAGTCATTAAAATTACTCTTTGGTACGAATTCAGTCCTTTTGTGGGTGGTATCTACGCTTACAGACACGACTAATATTGTTTTTTTTTTCTAAAATATACGTACAGATAATTATTAATAAAA